ATGCCCTGGATACAGTTTATTTAAGTAATTAAATATTATTTCATCTAAAGCATATTGTATCAAACCGAAGTGGCAAAGATATCCAAAGCATCTAGATCATTCCTAACACATAAGTTTGTGTATTGACACACATTTATCAGTTTCCATAGTCTATCGAGACAGTCAACTGAAGGATGTATGATTCACGACCAACAACCGGAGAAATAAATCATGTTCATTGTGTTGGAATACAATACCATATTTTTAATATAAAATATATCATATCGTTTTAGCGAAATTCCCTATAGGGAAGTAGCTATTACCGTAGGTGGCATGGTAAGACCTAGGCCCGGGACCGATTTACTTTTTCATTTTTATGTCCCCAGAGGCCAAAAACACCATTCATTCAAATTTTTATATGTATAAATTCAGCTTTGGTTGAACTATGCGGGAATGCGTGTCATCATTTCTGGTATACTACAGAAACAGTCTGGACCTATAGTACGTTTTCTGTGCTAATGGATACATATTTGCGTACATATTTCATCTTGGGTTTCCAATACTCACTGGCAATATTCCATTATTTTCACAACAAGAAATGAACCTCTATACTATTTGTGAATCCGTTTGACTTCTTGGGTGAATTATTTGTTTAGTAACATACGGTAAAAAAGTAACATATTTTATTTGTCATTCTTGGAAAATAATAAACACACATTTGTTTATTGGTTAATCTTCAATATGTTTCCATTGAAAATTGCATTGCATGATATTTCTTACTTATTATTTTGAGAATTGTTCTTAAGGACTCAATTGTATAAGGAAACTGAAACCGGTTAAACCGGGCATAGGAAATATTCAGCATAGCATCATTCTTTGGGATACATACAGTTGTTGAACTAATTTAACACCTAACGTCATAACTTGAGATAAAGTTTAATTGTAAAGAAAAGTTATGAGAATCGGACAAACAAATTTTAGTACGGAATGTTTTTTTATGTAATACAATTGACAAGTGCAATACACAGTATTCATCAAGTATGCCAAGATTTAAGATGAATGCACTGATTTACAGTATTTGAATCATGAATCAAAGTAGGTTAAAACCCTAGGTTTGGACAATGGGAGTAATATTATTGTCAGTGTTCTTACAGTGTGAATTCGTCTTGAAATCGTGTTTATCTTATAAATACAGTTAAGTTGCTCAATGTTTGTTATATAAATTGTTTAACTAACACAAATGTAAATGGATGAAACACATGTTTCTTTTGGAATAAGTAGGCCTACGCAATAAATAATTTTAATTAAAAATTTCACCAAGAAATATATTGAAAAAAAATTTAATTAGCCTTTCTAATCACATCTCAAAACATTGCGAATGGTTTTCAAATTATATTTTCACAGTTTTGACGACGCGTTTGCCTATAGATCGTCAAAATTAACAAATAGTAGTATATTTCATCACTAGGGCGTAAAGTAATTACAAACCTCCAGCAATTCAAGGTTGTCAAGGTTATCAAGGTTGTGTGGTAGGCGTTCTGGAAATAGGTGTGATAATACTTTGGTTTCATCCCTGACAAATTCACAAAAACATATAGGAGATTTTCATTTAAAACGTCAATACATCTGTGTTTTAGAATTCTACTATCGTAGACAGACAAAGATATTTGTAAAAGTAATAATTTCTTAATATAAATATCTTCAATAAACGGATTGGAAATTAATAAAAAAAGAAAAATTACAGGTACTTGTTAACAAAGGAACCCAACCGCCTGCCATTTCTCTTGCAGAATATGATGGATGAATGGTGTAAAACGTGTCATGTAACTACAGTAACCATATTATTTATTTCTGACAATGTACGAGTATAACACTTTTACTATAGAGTTTCGGCAATTGAACCAAGCATAAGTTATTACGTTTTACTTCGTCTTATAAACACATAGAAAAACTTAACACACACAGTATAAGTAAAAGCAAAAATTAGGGGAAACACTGATAAGGTGATACCCACAAATAATTCACCCCTCCCGTCAACTTCTAGTTGCCTCTTATGCAAAAGTAACAAGATTCGTCCCAAAAATTCAAACAGATTAATGCTGTTTTCCGTTTATAGTGTTTATAAATTTTTGTCATATAAAGTTCCACCAGCATGGACACAAAGGAGACTAAAATAATAAGAGGAAACAATAATTAAACACATATTGATAGCTAAACATATATTGTAAATATAAGGGTCAGAATAGAATTTTGGAAACCTTAAAATATTGCATGTTAACAAAGGAGGCCAATCACCTACCATTACTCTTGCAGAATATGATAGATGGATGTACGATAGAAACTGTGTCATGTAACTGCAATAACCATTATTTATCTCTGACAATGCTTAACCAGACGCTACTTAAGCCTAGACAATTTCAGTCGTCAAATAAATTTAGAAATAATATAATGTCTGAATTCTGATGCCAAAACAATTCTTGATTCTCAGCTAATCTATGGAGTACACGCGCTTTTCAACCATCTTTTCAACACAGTATCTACAGAAAAGTCATTGTGGTTTAGATGACAATGAATCATTCTGGCTATTGTTAACAGACAATTGTTCAAAATGTGAGTTTGAGGTACTGTATTGTTATTAATGTAAAACAGTTTCGCGGATCTATCATAGCCAGTACTAAAAGAAAACATTTGGCTAGGCTACTTGTATTATTCATATGCTGTACTTGTCATAGTATTAGGATTTTATGATAATGAATGTAACATATGAGTAAATAGCTGTTGTTGAGGAAAGCAATAGCTTGGAATGATCGTAAGGAGAATTACTTGTGTGGGAGCGAGCTCGTCTATTGTTAGAGCGTGGGACTTTGGTCCCTGAGGTCCTGGGTTCAAATCCAGCCAATCATGATGGATTTTATAAAATTGATATTTTCGCAACCTCCAGAACTAGCCTGAGGTAGTGCGAAAGACGTTCCCAGGCTAAATGCCGAGAGGCACATACCAAGTTAGTACATACAAGACTAAATTATGACCTTACAAATACTAGGGGGGTGAAATGAAATCAAATAGGTGTCATAATAATATACAATAAAAAACTGTGTACATAGCAAGATAAAAAATGTGTATAAATGATTACTAATATACTGGATAATTTATTTACATTATTAGCAACGTGGGAAAACAAATACTAGAATAAAAACAATAAACAACGAAATGAAATGATTCCGATAGAACGACAAGCAATTTTGAGCTTTAAGAGTATCCAAATGTATGTCAGCCTAATTCCAGGGTTATTAGTGGTTTACTGAGTTACAGGGATTGATGTGATTAATGTTGATGTTAATCAGTCCTGAACCAGGCGTTAGGTGAAATGGGGTTGATTGGCTATAATCATTAATAAATTGAATTTTATAATTTAATATTATTTACAATGGAGTTATTATTTAACACATTTAAAAATCGAAATTTAAACATAAGTTGCATCTCAATTAACATAGTTATGTTCTCAGATATACAGGCAGGAAAAAGTAATTTAAATTAATGATTTCTTATGGCCAGTAGCAAACTTTGATAATATTTTAGCAGCATCACCTTTTGGTTACTCCCCTTCATTTATCGGTTAATTTGTCCTTTGATTAATTCAGCCACACCGGCGCCTGCAAGTTTGGGCGTGTGGTGCAAAGTAACTTTACTGTCTGTGTACATCAACTTGGCACCAAAACTATCTAACATTGTTATGGGTTTCGCTTATACAACATTGTACGTACCACGTGTAACAAAGCTAAATATTAACATCATTTGATAGAGTCGAAAAATTAAGGTTAACTAAAATACAAGTTTAGATAGATTAATAGATTTACTAAACCAAAGGTTTCAAATACTGTAACTTAAATGTTGTATTTACTTTTAATAACGACCATTACGGTACAATCACAGCTATATACTAACACATAATTTTATAAAAGAGGAGTAATATTATTAAGGAGTAATTAAGGCATAACTAGTAATTAATTACCATGCATGCTGAACTTATTAGGATTTTAAAATAATTTAGTATTTTTGCATGTTTTAAAATGATTTTGAGGTAGATAACCGATATATAAAATACGTTTTCTAGTGTTAAAATAAGTTAACATAGTGACACATTTACTGGAATTAAAATTATTTTTTAAACACGTTCATTAGATTGTCCTTTTCTACATTGCCTTAGGAACTTTTGGATTTTATTTCAACAACTTGTGTTCATGTCAGTTACATAGTAATTTAATTAGGCTTTCGTGAAAGTTAGGTCGCTTTAGCCTATTGGTTAGTATTTTGTATTTCGGTACGTGAGAGGTGTGTTAGAGATCCGGCTTAACCCCAATATTTGAAATGGCGAGAGTTTGAGTTCTTTTTTTAAAAGCGTTCAATGTTCTTATATATAAAATTCCACTGGTGTTGAAATAAAAACAATTAACAATTCTAAGTCACCTCTATTGACTCAAATACACTCACTTGCCATAAAACCAATGATTTCCTGTACTTGTATTTTCCTTAGACCTTGTCTAAACACACCGTCGGGATTTATTTGCAATAAATTCATAACATCACTAAACTGTGCAGTTAATAAACAACGTATATAAGCTGATTGGAGTAAAGGAAGCAGGGCTGCCAACTTATGGGCTTGTTTTTACCTTAAACAACATGTTATTTGAGTTTCGTTTTATAAAAAAATATCCTGTACATCTATGTTAAATCATACTGCACCATCGTGCTTTTGGTCTTCATTGCTTTTCTTCAGTGATTCTTGGATTTATTTAATTGTTTCATCAAGCTTAGCTATTTAAAAGATCAGACGTTGAAATGCATTTTTCAGACATCATTATTTTGCTAATGTATATTGATTTTTGCTTCAGCCACGTTTTAGTTTAATTAATTGCTTTAGTGCACTATGTATGATTAAAATGTAACATTCCTGAATACATAGGTACTGTTAAAATTATGTCTGTACTGTAAATAAGTTGAATGAATAAATGTAAACCTACCTGTATATCGCCATACGCCCCTAAGAAGCCTACTGTGACGGCATCTCTGAAGTTATGAGCTCCGGAGCCTGTCAAGTAGTTGTAGAGAAAGCTATAGTCTCCTCTTTCACTCTTGTTTTCTGAAACAATTAAAACTTGTCAATGTGTAAAAATTAAACTAAGTAATCAAAAGCAGTAAAATGAGAGTTGCCATTTTGGATTTTGTTTTATTTAAAAACTATAAAGTATGGAGTAAATTTAGACAAAAACAAAAAGATTTAGATAATTGGAATTTTTAATACAAATATTTAATTACCGAATACCATTTTCATCACAGAATCATGTTTCAGTGCATTCTCGTCAAGTTATTTAGCTAACCAAAGAATTGCAGCTATCGTAGGAACTTAGATATTACATTCTATTCTCACGTTCGATAATGTGTATAGCTTAGAACAAACTATTTTATTGACAACTGCACCCACCGAACATGTAGTTTCGTGTAATGAAAGCAACATGATTGGAAGTATTATAGTTTTGGTTTTATAAACTGCAACTGTACAGTCGTTTTTCAATTTAGTTTTTAATAAGTAAGTTTCTGAACTTTTATAGCTATAAAAATGTTACTATGATGTATTGGGGAGAGCGAGCTGGTCTAGTGGTAGAGCGTGGGGCTTCGGTGCCCGAGGTCCCGGGTTCAAATCCCGCCAATCCCCAATGGATTTTATCCATGTGATAATGCCACAACCCTAGCCAGATAATAACACTAGCCAGAACTAATGTGTACAACAGTTCTGGGCTAGAAATGTCTTCCTAGGATGTGAAGGTGGGACAGAAAAACAAATTATGAATTATTGGAGTTTTGATTATTAGACTTCTATCCCAGTTCCTACGGATTATATCCAGCTAACCACATAACGCTTTTGGCAATGAGGTCAATGAGCGTAGTTTTATCATTCAAGTCCAACTTATCTTATGGGTCCCTCTATACAGCAAAAAAAAAAAAATACGTATTTGGAGATAAAGTGAACTTTATATTAGAAAGGTCCCTTCATTAAAATTTTATGGACGATAACATTATTTAAATTATGTGCGAAATGCATTAAAAGAAATTAAAATACAAAAAAGTAGGTCACAGGCTAATTTATAAATCGATCACTTTTCAATGAATATCTCACACATAATTTTACAACAATAGGCTTGACTGATTGTCCATTATATTTTTCCGCTGACACTAACGCGTATGTTACGTGAGATCTTTTCATCAATCATTTGCCTTATTAATCACTGAAAATGGTCGTTTCAATTTTTAACTATCCAATACTTGCATTACAGTATCACCATAGTGTATGTGATAAATTGTACTTCATGTTGATTAATCACTACTGTTTAGTTAGTTTCTGATTAGTGGACGGATCATATTACAATTCCAGCTGCAAAATTGTATTTTAATACCTTATTAATGCAGTAACTTTGTTGCATGCTGTAACGTTTTATATTTAAATTGAACAAAATATATGATACAGAATCTTTATTTGTCAAACGTAAATGACAAAAGTAGAAAGTAAACAAAACAATGTTTTTGTGGCCCATCTGATTAAATAAATTAAAGAACAGTATTCCAGCAAACAAAATATACACTCAATGTACAATATATATATATATATATATATATATATATATATATAATATATATATATATAATATATATATATGTTGTTATATTTCATTATTTCAAGTTTGCCAATGTTCTAAAGAGGTTATATGACTCGGAGGTTTACGCCCATTTTAATCTGCGTGTCAAACTATCAAATTAGTGCAAGAAGGTCTTACAGGTTAAGACAACTGCATCATGTATTGACAGATTTCTTGTAAAAAAGCTATCTGTTTGCATATTTCAGGACACTATGATCATTTGACGAAAGATGATATACGATGTTGAATTAATATTTATGAGCATTTTATTTGTTTACTTTTATTGTGACATTTAATATTAATTTTTTTGTATCCTTTGTTTAAAACCAACAAGTTTTGATTGCTTTGGTGTTTTTTTCTTCATTTTTACAAAGGTCATAAGTGTGTTCGATGTATTAAATGAATTTCTATGACTTATGTGAACGTAAAGATACATTTATGAAACTACATTAACTTTCAAAGGTCAGGTTTTCAGGCCCGAATCACTTTTCTAAATAACTTTAGAATATCTTACGCGTTTTACTATTTCTTAGGGGAAAAATATTAAAAAAAGTATAAGTAGACCTACGTTTGGTGCAATTATTATGCATTCAGCACTTATTTTTTACGAATTTTTACAAAAAAGGTTTACAACACTACGTCAAGATTTTCTTTTTTGGTTTGAATATAAAAACCTTTTGAAATGCTTTCTTTGTAAGACTTTTTCTGTTTCACTTTTTACTGAAGAATACATTAAATAAAAACTTGCATTGGGGAGAAACAAATTTATTCACTTTATTTTTACTCATTTGTAGAAAATTGATACTGTTGTTAAGTACATAATGGCAGTCGTCATAACGCTGCATTCAGTGACGTTATTTTGAGAAAACCTAACGAAAAGACTGTTAAAGGAACACGTGTACTTTAAGAACAAGATCAAGAAATACTCCATTCAAACTTTCTTTTAATGTGTTGTTTATTTAAAAGTATGTAACACCGATGTACCTTTAATCTATCACTACCTTTATGTAAGCTCCAAACAGGCTTAACCGACAATAAATGAGAATTCATTGTATAAAGTGATAAAATATAATATGAAGCCAAATTAAGAGAATTATGTGTAATAATCGATATAATGTATCAATGCATGTTTTAAAATTTGCAGACTGTTGCATTGTAAAATTTAATTTGTGTTATTTGACTTTCCTAATTGTATCTTGTTTGTTATCACTTACATCACAACACATACTAATTACAATTGCCAAGGCTACATCTAGAAACAGATATTGTACATTCCAAGTTAAGACAATCTCAAGGGAAATTGGCACGATTACCAATTTACACCTGAATACCTCACCTATATAACCCCTCCCCCCTCCATCTGATATAGTACCATCGCAACAGAAACCTCATTGAATTTGTAAATAACCGATTCTTAATTAACTTATAACCATTATCAAGGAAAATCTACACTTTGATATTAACGCCAAATTTAAGACAAGTTACCTACTTTAGTTGACTTACTTTTAAATTCATCAAGTCAAGGCTCAAAGATTACAAGATTTCTAATACAAAATGAACAAATAATTGTGTTTTTTAAGGATTTTTCAAGAGTAAAGGAGATTTTAAACAAAGATATCCTATAATTCTTTTCCGATTACTATGCAAGTCTAAACCGTTAACTTTATCTGATGTAATATGATTTTATAAACGATTTATTTCTCAATTTACTACCACAAATAATATTTTAAAACCTTAAACGTGCAGTTGTTCTATACTTTTAGTCACTTTTGCAGATATCTATAGCAACTTTTTGTTAAAAACAGTGAACCCATGTCCAGTGAAAAACGTAGACAATATTTTACGTTATCATAACTCTTTGTTATTACCTGTTTCGCTGGGTTTGTGACAAAGATTATTATTCATCCAAGTCCACAACATACGGAGTATAGAAAATTGCATTTATCTCATTGACAATTGTATTATGACTACGGTACTAATAATTGTGTGTGAAAATATATTCCCATTTTAGCAGACATGCAGACTTAGCAATATCGTAGGAACTTCATTAGTTTTGTTATTTAAGAATATTAGTTGAGAGAAATAATATTTTTTTACAGTATTAGTCCTTCAGCATTACTTAAAGAGTAATGAAAATTGCTGTTCACATTAAATCAGTCGGAAACAAGCGTTACTTTGTATATAGCCAAATTAATTTTAATGTAGCAACTTGCTACAGAGAGCCAAGACAAATATACTGTCATATAGTACTCATCACAGAGAGACTTTGATTTAATAACTCTATGCTGATGTATGTTTACTCCTTGTTGAGACGATGACTCTATGATTTGTAAATTAGCTTAGCTCACTCTCTTGTATTAAATATGTAGAACGAGATGGACGTCTTTTTATTAGACTTGACCTACAATACTTCTTTTGACATATACCGCGTTGCAACAACAAAACATCACTTCCAGAGGAATTCTTAAACAGAGAAACTTTCTCTGTCGGTATTTTAGATAACTTTCTTCGGCATAAGTTTACCGTTCCTTTACTTTCCATCCTTATTACCCAGAATAATTAAAACGAAGCAAATCCCACTTTGCATTTATTTAGAACTAGCAGAGTACCCGTCCTTCGTACGGGGTTGGCATATAAGTATCAAATGCTTATAGCAGTTATGAGTGAGGACATGGTTTAAGAAATTTCGGTTCTTTTTGAAGTTCGTTCGCTACGCTCACTCACCTTTAGGTTGGAGCTCGTTCGCTGCGCTCACTTTCCTTCAGGTTAGCTCGTTCGCTACGCTCACTTGCCTTCAGGTTAGCTCGTTCGCTACGCTCACTCGCCTCCAGGTTGAAGTTCGTTCGCTACGCTCACTCACCTTTTGGTTGCAAATTAGCTGTTGTCATAAATGTAAAAGAAATAATGCTAGTGCTGCACCCTGTTGGTAATCCTTGTAACTTTAATGCTATTGAAAATCATAGAACAGAACCAACTTGTTTAATTGAAACAGCTGTTAAGATTCATTAATTCCATTTCTCATAAGGTTAACATGGGAACCTTTGCTCCAGAGCCACTGGGGCGGAGCCCGGAAGGATTTTTGGGATAAAAATATGCCTATATGTTAATCGGGAATATGAGCTATCATCATGCCGAATTTCAGCCCGATCCGACCAGTAGTTTTCGCGTTTACTTTTCCCATACACACAGACACCACCTCTTTTAGCGAATTTCCCATATAGGGAATAAGCTATTACCGTAGTACTCATGGTAAGACCTGGACGCGGGACCGATTTTTTTTTCGTTTTGAGGTCCCTAGAGGCCAAAAACACCATCCGTTCAAATTCATATATATATATATATATATTTATATATTTATATATTTATATATATATATATATGTGTCCGTTAGCACGATAACTCGAGCAAAAATGATCCGATTTTGATGAAATTTGGTACAAACGTGTAA